ACACACCTCCTTAGCATTCTCCTTATTTCCTCCATGTTTCACAAGTGGACCAGATCTATCACTAACCTTAAAACCTCATTTCTTCTCTTTGTTCTTCCATAACCTCTTTCCTTTAGAGCTATTTTTGTGTGAGCTATATCTAGAGGCTATATGCAAACTACTAAATGTTTTTGCAATGACTTCACTCTCCTCAGCGTGTCTTAGTATCTCTGTTCAAATTATTTCAGAGTAGCAACAACCTCAGTAGGATTAATCTCATCTAGTTTCTTAGTCCCCTCAATCACAAAGACAATATAATCATAGTTAGGAGTAAGGCTAATTAACAGTTTCTTAACTATTCTCTTATTTGACCACTCCTCACCATACACCTTCATTTGGTTAATCATATCAAACAATCTAGTCAAATAAGAGGATATCATTTCACCATTTCTCATCTAAGCATATTCAAAATCTCTTCTAACACCTTGCACTTTCACTGCTCGAACAATATGAGAATCACCTGTACTTCTTGCTTCAAGGTGTCCTAACTTGCCTTGGTCATCTCTTGATTTGCAATGTTGGGGAAGATTTCATCCTACCCGAACTTTGGATCAATAGAAGATCCCTAGCATCACGAGCAATCATATCCTGAGCAACAATTTGTTATTTCTTAGTAGTCCATCATTTGAATCCGAGGAAAGTCCATAGCCTTCCTCTACAAATTTCAAGAGAATATGAAACTTCAATTTAGTCTCAATTTTGTGTACTAGAAATCATAGTTGACTCCGGTGAATGCTGCAGCTCGAAACTTAGCTCCAGATCTGGTCATCTTGCTTGAAATTGTTCTTCATTGAAAACCCAGAAGCAATCCTTCACATTTCACGCCCCTTTATTCAATTCAGACCAAGCTCTGAGGCCATGTGTTATATTGATTTTGGAGGTGACTTAGTTAGTTTTGTTTACTAGAAAATAAAAAATGAGAGGATAAAGACAATGAGCTCATAAAAGGAGAGTACATAGCTCTTTAGATTTCACATTGGCTTCTATTACATCAGCTTGAAGACACACAAAGCATGAGTAAATGAAATGATCGATACAAACTCACACGCTCAACACGCTTGAGGTAGCTCACGTGTAATGCACGAGCATCACTTAAAAATATCAAGGCTAAATAGCCAAAATGGTCCCTGAGATTTGTATAAATCATCACTTTGGTCCCTAACATTTCAAATCGATAAAAGTGGTCCTTGAGATTGTCCATCATCCATCATTTTGGTCATTCCATTAAAAACTCTGTTAAGTGTCTTGGAGCTCTTGGTCGAAAGTTTGGGCAATTTTCAAAGTTTCGTAGCTCAATCGTTTCTTAACCAAATTTGACCCATAATATATCAAAATGAAGATAGGAAAATTTAGAATAAGATTATACCTATTTGGAAGCCCAATGGCTGCCAGATAGCCGGAAAATAGCCTCAAAGTTGACTGGTCTGAAGGAAAACTGGAAAATTCGCCGGAAACTGGGTAAACTTTAAACATTCATAACTTCTTCAATACTCAACGAAATCAAGTGATTCAAAAACAAAAATCATACTTCTTGATGAGACGAAGAGAATGGTGCCTTTGTAGATGGCTAACTCGCCTTGGTTTGGCCAGAAAACGGCTCAAAAGTGGCTGTCTTAGTCTCGAGTTAGCCACTTTTGAGCCGTTTTCCGGCCAAACCACGACGATTTAGCTGTCTAAAAGGCACCATTCTCTTCATCTCATCGAGAAGTATGATTTTTTATTTTTGAATCACTTGATTTCATTGAGAATTGAAGAAGTTATGAACGTTTAAAGTTTGCCCAGTTTTTGCTTTGACCAGTCAACTTTGAGGCTATTTTCCGGCCATCTTTGGAAGCCATTGGGCTTCAAATAGGTATAATCTTATTCTACACTTTCCTATCTTCATTTTGATTTATTATGGGTCGAATTTGGTTAAGAAACGATTGAGTTATGAAGCTTTGAAAATTGCCCAAACTTCCGGCCAAGAGCTCCGGGACACTTAATGGAGTTTTTAACGGAAAATCCAAAATGATGGATGGTGGACAATCTTAGGGACCACTTTTATCGATTTGAAATGTTAGGGACCAAAGTGATGAGTTATGCAAATCTCATGAACCATTTTGGCTATTTAGCCAAAATATCAACTAATATGACAAATGGCACAATACTAGCCTATCAGCTTGTTTTAATCTTAGCAGTCTATTAGATATTCAAAATACAAAGATGAATAAGTAGCAGATTTGATTTCTTCGCTTCAATTCCCAGTACCAGCATTCCTTCGTCATTGCAATGCTGAACTAATCTCTGTAATTATCCTTTTGCAAACAATCCTTAAACCTCAACAGAAACTCGTAGAAGATAAAGACGTCTACATGTATGGGTACGTCTTAAGACTTGTCTTAACTTTGTTTCTATTCCTCTATTCCAATTCGGTCTTCATGCAAACAGAATTTCAAATCTTGAAATTAATTAATCTCCAAATTGTTTTTTGAGATAATTAATCCCCAAATTGTTAATAACGATTTCTGTTTTTCATCCCCATGTTTTTAGTCTAATCTATTTTATAAGTTAATTCCTTCAAATGTAATTTATATCAAGAAAGTTCTTGTTACCACGAACTACAACACCTCTAACAGTGGCGTGAGATAAACAAATAATATGATTCACTTAGCATTACTTCAACTTATATATAAATTTATTGCTAGCCAATAGTATATATAATTAAGAAATTAGGTACAGAAATTTGTTTTTGACTGATTAGTAATAGACACCTGCATATTATGCATTTTTAGCAACTTGCTGAAATGTTACACTTTTCCTTATTTGTTAGATGCATCAAAACGATTGGGTTTTAAACTTGCATTAACATGCAACCTGAAATTTTGATGATGCAGATACCTAACTGCATTTTGCTCCTCTGAATGCCTAGACGATCAGATGGCATTCGACGGGTTCGACAAAAAAAAACTCGATCCAGAGCGTAAAGTAAAAAGGATTTCATATTTAGGCAAGTCAAATGCAGCAAAGCCATGAAAGTTCAATTTGGTAATGTAGAAGGAGAATCTACCAAGGGAAAACTACCAGTTTACTAAGGCAATTAATTTAGATGGGAATTCTTTTTTGTCAATTTGTATGATGGATGTATATAGCTAAATGTGGATTTGTAATAGTCTCTTCCAAATTTCCAATTCGACTTCAAATATTTTAAAACCCTACTGTTTTGGATTTTACATCAGCTTTGATTTGGTGAATCAGCTTTCAAAGAGTTTGTTTGCCTTGAGATTTACTCATGTTTGCCCAAATCTTATGGTGTGCCTGCTTTGTTCTATAAAGTAGCGCCATCGGGATTTAATTTTATTGAACACCTATAACTTGTTAGTCCATTTCCAACGGAAAATCTTGTGTCACCGGGTGCGTCCACCTTTTTGGGCTCTGCATCCACGCCACATTAACAAACTAACAAAATTTGCAACGGACTAATGATTCGAGCTATATAAAATTTACAAGACTTAAGAATCTATTAATTTGAATTCGATGAACAAATTTAAAGTTGGGTTTCCAGTTTAGGGAGTAAAATGCTCCAATTTTGAGACCCCCCGAAAAATAGAAAGCCAAACGCAAGTGACCCTCTATCCTAGTAGTGGGGAGGAGGATTGTCCTTGCGTCACGGCTTGGAATCGAACCACGTTGGTCCTAATCTAACAAATCTATGGTTTGACGGAAAGAAAAAAAAAAAAAACAGAAACGCAAGTGACCCTCTATCACAGTAATGGGGAGGAGGATTGTCCTTACATCACGGCTTGAATTCGAACGAAGTCGGTCCTAATCTAACAAATCTATGGTTTGATGGAATAAAAATAAAATAAAATAAAAATAAAAAAACAGAAGGCCAAACCATGTTCTGTTACTGCTAGTTTAGTTTTGGTGCTTCTGGTTGTTGCGTTTCAGACACTGAGCAGCAATATACAGAAGTAGTGATGGATAGAGCAAAGAATCTTTAAATCATGACTTTTCGACATAAACTGCCAAGCCTGTGATGGATAAGGATTATCTGCCCTCCTAGTTGTGGTGCTCTTCCATGCCCTCCTATTTTATGCGGTCACGATTAAGCCACGTCAATATTTTATATTAATTTTTTAATGAGATAATAAGACAAAAAACAATAAAAATATAAAATATTAACGTGACTTAACCGTGACCGCACAAAATAGGAGGACATGGAAGGACACCACAACTAAAAGGGCAGAAAATCCTTGTCCGTGAATTTTGGCCTGCTTGTCAATTCCTTGAGCAGGAAGCACCACGACCTTTTTCAGTAAAATATATAATTACCAAGACCCAGACATCGATCAACCCCTGAAACTTGCTTTATTCTGTGCTAGCTTCTGTTCTCACTTTAGTAAATAAATATTCATCAATATTCTTTCCCATTACTCAGATATGCAAAAGTAAAAAAATAACTCAGACATATTTAGTACGAGCATTATTTGACTCTTTACCGTTTAAGAAATATTACAAATCGAAAACTAACACATGTACTAAATAAAAATCATAAAAATGAAAAGTTTCTATATACCTACATGCACTCCCTAATTAATATACTTAGGAAGACAAAACTCATCATTTGTAAAGAGTCGATTATTTTCCTGTAAAAGCACATTTTTCTTTTTTCAATCTTCACAGCTTAACAGAATTTTCTTTTCATTTTTGTTTCTTGGGTGGGGGTTCAAATGCATGCGAAGAAGCTTAAACGCATGCACGTCATAGTTTTGGCGGTTAAAAATAAGATTATCGAGTGGTCCTTGCTAGAGAATGTAATCATGACAGTTTGGTGCAAACTGGTAAAGACAGATGTGGAATGAAGCCCCACTACAAAACAAAAATCATGGTGCTCATCTATTTTACCTGCCAAACCTGTAAAAACTGACTCGAGCTTTCCCAGTCTGTTAAACACCGGAGTTAAAAAGTAAAAGCACTCACAGTAACTTTTTCAGGATAAATCAATTGCCACAACTGGAAGTCTGGAAGAACAGGAGGCTTTTGGACTTCAATCATAAGGCACCATTCTTTTTCATTCTATTTTCTTTGCATTTAATAACAAAAAGGATGTAAGAAAATGATTATTTTTACCCTTTTCACTTTCATTCAGTCATCATATATATATCCCTAATTCCTAAACAAATAAAGAATCACGAATAATTAAAAATAATAATAATCTTCTTGTTCTTCCACTTGGCGAGTTCCGATTGGCTGAGTTCATCCTGCAAGACAAAAGTTTATAACTTTATGTAAGTAAAAGCTCAAGGGAAATTTAAATATTATTTACTGTAAGCACAGAAGTAAAAACACTTGTTAACACAATTATAGTACCTAATTAATGTGGGGTAAGTGCTTATTAACTGGATGACCAAATAATGGAGTGTTGTTTCTGACTGCTGAAACTGATTTTTTTACTGCCACCAGGTTATGAAACCAACTGTAGTTACTGTACAATTTTCTGTTCATGTGTGAGTTAACAGACCAAAATTGCAAAATTAGCACCTGCTAAGAGAAAGTAAAATGGTCAAATTAGACAAACTAACCCTTCAAAGATGTACAGAAAAAAGCAAGAGAAAAAAGTCAATAAAAAAAGAAAAGAAGAGTTACCTTTTTCGGTTTGTGGGCTAAGGGAGTGTCTCTATCGACACTACAAGGATGTGTTCTTCAAAGTGATTCCCGCCTGCAACTGCAACTGGGGACCAAATTCTAAATAAGACCAAGAAATAACCAAGATATCCATACTTGTGAAGAAAACAAGAGGATGAAAAAATTTGGACACTTTCAGGTTTACTAAAAGAGGCATTATTCCTCTCATTGCATGAGTTTTCATTTTTAGGCATATCCAATAGGATCAAAATCTGTGGATTGAACCGTCTGACGAGAGAAATGCTAAAGAGTGACACGTGAAATGAAATTACAGTGAAAAAAGGGTTGATTTGATTGCCGAACCATACCAAAAGAAGAGTTGGAACTTGTTCAACTAAAATTTCTAGGGTACATCAGTGTATGATGTACCATGCTGAATTTAACGGTTGGATGTGCGGTCAAGAATCCAAGGGAATTTAAAAGGATTCCTAATTTAATAGGTATTGGGAACCTTAGGAACAACTAAATTATTAACTAAACAAAACCTGCAAGTGAGACATACACTCAGATGACCATGTGATTTTGTATTGCAGGCATGACATGCACAGAACAAACAACAGAAAGAGAGCATACCTGAATGCAGGACCGATGTGGGTCATCATTGTTCCCTCATCCTTCAGAAAAAGTTTAGCTCGGTATATCCATGTGAATATGGAAGAAGCTCCTCAACTTCTATCCTGGAACTAGAATAACTCATGCTTTTCTTCAACCGGTTATGGCTTGATTCAACCTCAGCCCAAAATACGCCATAAACTGGTCTGTGATCTGAGAACCTAGATTCCCCACGTACATACGATAATTGCTGGAGACCTTCACCATACCACAATATTCGATCACACCTTCACAGATGAAAAGTCAAAAAATTAGCAATTCAAAATTTTGGATAATTAATCCATTTTTATTCAATGAACACTTCATCTTCCATTTTATTCATCCATAATTCTCCGTACAGTAGGGAAGATGGTCTTACCAAGCAGGTGTTCGACGTTTCTCCTTTGGGTGCATATCATCCCCTGCATATCTGTCTGAATTTGTCGAATACTTGTAAGTTGGTGGAAAATAAATCTTCCCCTCATTCCAGCCCCTAAAAACACGACCTCGTTTCTGCTCTATCCGTAACTGTTGCAAGAACTAATGTCAATTGCCTAATGAAGTAGTAAGAATGGAAGCAAGGATTTTAAAACAGAGGAGAAACATAGATAAGTATATTGAAACATGCCTGGTCATTCTCTAACAAGGCCCTCCAGTTTTGCATCTCGACTAACGCTTTAGCAGAGCGGTAAGAGAGGGAAATTCGATAATTCAAATCCCCAAGCCAAATAACTCGACTAGATAAGAAGTCAAGAAAAATTATAATTAGAACAAGTGGCATATACCAGCTGCTGAACGCCTATAACAAAAGTATGCAATCAATGGTAGATAAGGTAAACAATTACTCATGCTCCAAGATTGTTTCTGGGGATTTCAGCGCGCCAGAGCCCTTAACTTTTGGAAATCTAGTCTTCCGAAGGATCTCCATGACATCAGAATTCCTTCTTAGTTCATCACCCTCCTTTTGTCCAGAGGTTAAATGAGTACAAACAAAGCAAAAGGTCGTATCGTGGAGAGACATGCTCACTGAAATGGATCCCTGAAAATCCAAACAGAAAATTGTCTTTGTTATTTACGATTGAAAAATGCATCGAAAAGAATCAAAACAACCATAACTAAGTGATTCAATACCTTATTTCCAAGATAACCCATTAAACCTCTTCCAACACATGATACTTTCATGTCTTTCACAGAATCCCTCAGCTCACTCCTGACCCATACCGTGAGAAATATGCCAACCATTTGCTTGCTTGCAACTAAGTTATACCTTGAATGCCCCGGCATTCTATATCCATCATTGGATGCAGATCCGCCATAGGACATTGGTGAGAATAAAACAGTACTTGGTGAATCACCTGGTCCGTTATCATCATCAGACGATGCCCACCTAGAATAGTCACTCGGTCTAGAGTAGTCACTTGGCCTTGAGTAGTCACTCGGCCTTGAATAGTCACTCGGCCTATGACCGCATTTGAAATTGGGATCACAATCACTTGGCCTGTGACCATAATCACTTGGCCTGTGACCATAATCACTTGGCCTCTGACCATAGTCGCTTTGCCTGTGACCATAGTCACTTTGCCTGTGAGCAAAGATCACTCGATCACAAACACTGAACCTTCGATCAAGTCGAGGTTGTGAGATAGAAGGGTCATTCTCCGTTCTCCAGCTGTGGGTTGCTTGAAATGATCGACGTTGGAAGAAAGACGAGTTCTTCTGCCTAGCTGATCCCTCAAAATCTGCATGTAGTTCTACAATTGGCTGTGGGATGGGAGATGGTGTATAGCACCCACCACCCCCACTGGTCCCGGGAAGATTGTTTAAGGTCTTCCGAATGAGAGCCAACCATTTCTTGGCAGGGCCATTGTCTTCTGCGCCCAGAACATTACCAGCATTTAGAGGAACTATCTCTTGAAACCTGAGAGAGAGAAGTATAGACGTATATATGAGCAACATGCCTATAATTAGAGTTTGTTCTGAGAGAAGATAAGATAAAAACAGCGAAATCATACCCAAGAACATAAATATCCGCAGGAGGTGAGGCGTGAAGCCAATCATCCAGTTTCAGATTACTCGGAGGAGATCTCCCGGCCACATTCCATGTAGCAACAAAAATGCTGCCCCAATTCAAAAGAGAAAAACTTGTAAACAACACATTAGAGATCCAAAATACTTTATAAGAACAACATTGTAAAAGAAGATATATATATATATATATATATATAGACACTTTACCTATGGTTCTCTACATCTATGATTCGAGGATGATCGAGATTCATTTTTCGCCTACGAACTTGCTCTGTGTTCTTGCTAAACTTTTCTGTCTTGCTTTTCTTAATTGTGCATGGTTCCCTCTCTGAGAAACTAGTCCTGTATTCAACCTGATCACCTCCTGAAGAACAAAATTATTGGAAATGTATTCAATAATGCCAAAATTATTGGAAGTATTAAAATATAAATCAGAGAGAGGTCAATAATGCCAAAGAATTAAAAAATTTCATATATACAAGCCAAAACAGATGGGACAATTATGCAGTAACAGAATAGAAATACAAAACAGAACAGTGGCATTGCTGAGACAAAAACTCCAATTATCCAAAGCTATTAGTTAAATCGATTTCTGTACTTAGATTAAGATTATGTCACCAGAAAACCCCAATAATTATATAATAATAGCAATACCAATCATATGAAAAACCATTGGAAAAGAAGGGTTTCTACCTCCATAGTTAACATCATCTGCCTGAAAGTCCTCATTTTTGCTCTTGATATTGAACCACTTTCTGACCATTTTCTTTGACCATGAGAGCTTCACCAAACAACAAACAAAGAATCAACAAACAATTCCCAGAAATCAGAACATAAACAAATTCATAAATAATCCAGGAAAATAATGTTTTTTTTTCAACAGAATTAGAAAGTGAAGAAAAAAACCGTGCTTTTCTTGGAATTCTCAACTCTCATTGTTTCACTATTACTTCATACAGCTTCTTGGTTTATTCTCTGCTTCCCCAAATATGATAAAAGTTTACTCCTTTAATCCTAAAACTCTAAAAACAATCCAGTAATCTGCAAATATTGGAGAAAAGAGAGGAAACTGCGAATGGTTTTTCTTATTTGTGGCCAATAATAAATGGGATTTACTGTTTTGGTGTAGTTGCGCTATTAAACGCACTCAATGGTGATGTGTAGGCTCAAAGAAGGAAAACCCAGAAGAATATGAAGGCTCAAAGACTGGTAAGAGAGAGAGAGAGAGAGAGAGAGAGAGAGAGAGCGCGGTTTAATGCGTGGGAGTGAGATGAGATTCTGAATTTAGAACAAGACAATGCGGCAGACATAGAGAGAGAGGCAGAAAGAAAAAGAGAGTCCCCTTCTCTCTCTTTGAACCAAAGCGCCTCGTTCTTGGTAACAACAGCAAAGTATCGAACTTGAACAGTATAAAGTGCAAGACGAGAGACAGAGAGTGAGGAGTCTGGTGAGTGAGAGTTAATTTTATTGAGAAATATTTAACCCCAAAGCAATTAGCACAAGGGACGCCCAACATAACGGGGCAACGGGCATGTTGTTTAGTTTTAAACTTGTGAGCAGAACGACCCGGTCAGCGGAAGAAAGGCTGCCCGCGGTCAGCAAAGTGAAGGGCATGTTTTGAGATCCAGACATGTACAGCAGGCACTAGAGGGAGAGGGAGAGCTGTCTCCTTCTGCACCATTTGGTCTACCCATCAAAGTAAAAGCAGTTTAAAGATGGAAAAAGAGAAAGGGAGTGTTAATATGTATCTGCTGGGTTGTTACAAGTACTAGTACTATATTTGTTTTTTATTTTATTTTATTTCTTCTTTTGCTGGCAGAGAATTTATTTTTTTTGTCAAACGAAGGATTTTATTAGATTAGTCACTAATGAGGTTCGAACTCATGTCATCATGTAAGAACTCAACATATTTTCACCACTGTGGTAAAGGGCCACTCGCGCTCACAAAGAATGTTTGGGGTTGAACAATTTTTGTTTTTTAACAAACGATATTATCTATACTAAAGGGAAGAGAATTGAGTTTAACCTCACAATGGGTTAGTAATAATATGATTCAACCTTTGACGAGAATCGAACCTAAGACCTCTTACTTACAAGTAAAGAGAAATGCTACTACACTGTAGTATTAAGTGCTCTTGAAGAAATATTGTATTGACAAAAAATGATATTGGTAGTTCCTACATGGTTTTTTGTTTGGAGGCATTCAACTTTAGCAAATGCATAAAATCTCCACAACAACTTCATTTCTTGTCCTCTTTAGGTTTTTATTTCTAAAGTTCCAATCTTTAATTTTTGGAGCAATATGCATTTCTCATATGTGTGATTCTCTATGTTACTATATAGGGTAAAGTACAAAAAATTACCTCAACTATTGGTGTCACGACACTTTCATACCCCATCTTTTAAAATTGACAATGTCATACCTTATCTTTAGAATTTGATTCAATGTTATACCTTCCGTTATTTGACCGTTTACTTTTCAGTTAAATGCTAAAGTGGCTTGATTCGGAGCCCATTTTCTATAAAAAAAAAATTAATAAAATATTATTAAAAACTAAAAAAAAAATATTTAATATTTTTTTAAATAATAAAGAAAAGTAAAAAAAATCCCTCTATTCGTCCCTTCCCCCCTCTCTCTCTCCCCATCTTCATCTTCTTCCCTGCTTAATCTTCAACCAAAAAAAACATATTTGAAAACCTATCAACCCCCCAACCACCGCCCCTGAAGAAGAAGAAGAGGAAAAAAAAAAATGCAACCCAACCTAGTTCGCGTCCCCCCCCCCAACCCCCTACAACCCAGAAAGAAGGAGGAAGAAGAAGAAAAAAAAAAAAAAAAAAAAACCCCAACAGCGACAGCGTCCTCTCCCGGCCAGAGCTCTGCAAAGCCTTCGAGTCCCTCAGGCTCATTAAGGCCCACTTCGGCATCGATGTGGCCACCCCGCCATAGCAGTTGACGCAGTTGTACGACTCCATATTCGACAAGTTCGACAGCGACCAGAGTGGGACGATGGATCTGGAAGAGTTCAGGGAGGAGATGAAGAAGATTATGTTGGCCATCACCGACGGGCTGGGCTCCTCCCCCATCCAGATGGTTCTGGAGGACGATGACCATAAAGAAAAAGAAAAAAAAATCCAAAGCGAACCCAGTTCGTCCCCCCCCCCCAAACCTAACCCCCTGCCAACCCCAAATCCACCACTCTCATCCATTCTCCACATCCTCTTCCGCACCCATCCTCCACCTTCTCCGCGCACCCATCTTCCTGCCGACGGGATCTGGGTTTTTATTTTTTTGTTTTTGGGTTGTAGGAGGGGGAAGAGGGAGTTGGGGGGGGGGGACAAACTGAGGGTGGGTGCAGGGGAAGACAAATTGGAATTTTTTTTTTTTTTTTTTTTTTTTGGTTGGGGGTTGCAGGTGGGGGGAAGAAGATGAAGATGGGGTGAAGAGAGAGAGGAAGGGGAGGGGGAGGGACGAACTGAGGGTTGTTTTCTTTTTTTAATTTTTATTACTTTTCTTTATTATTTTAATATTTAAAAAATATTAAATAATTTTTTTTTAGTTTTTAATAATTTTTTAATAGAAAGTGGGCTCCAAATTAAGCCACGTCAGCATTTAACTAAAAAGTAAATGGCCAAGTAACGGAAGGTATAACATTGGACCAAATTCTAAAGATGAGGTATGACATTGTCAATTTTAAAAATGAGATATGAAAGTGTCGTGACACCAATAGTTGTGGTGGTTTTTTGTACTTTACCCTTATATGGAATGATTGTGGATGTTGGTTTGGGAGAATGTTGATGACCAATTTTGGGGGTTTCCAAGCTTAAACTAGGTTCTGTGTCCTTGGAAACATATACAGGTGTCCCAAATTTAAGGTGTTGGGGTGCCCTTTTTTGTGTGCCACAATGGATGTTGGGGTTCCCTTTTTAATTTTTTGGAAGAGGTTGGTGAGTTTCTCTAAGCAATATTTTTCACTTTGGTTTTTTCATTTGCGTGGGGAGCTTTCCACATGAAATGTGCTTCCTAATTCCTATTAGATTTATAAATGTTGAAGACTCCACTGTATAGTCAAGAATATTAAATTTTCGTTTCGAGGGAAAACAAACTTGGACTTATATTTCTTTTAAACAAGAAATAAGTTACAAATAAAATCCACGACGAGTCTTTACACCAAACATATCAACATGTAATTGAAAAATGATCTCTGTATGAAAATTAGCAAACGAGAGACATTATAACATAGGACCCATGTTGATTTAAGATATAATTCTTAAAATTTAAACTAATTTAGAGACTCTCAACACCCTCCCTTCAGAAACCCGAGCCTTCGCCACCGGCCTCTACCTAAGGTTGGGGGCCAGTGGGCAACCTGTCCCTCATCTCTTTCTTCTCCTAGCCTTCCTCTCTTTCTCTCCTAGCCATCCTATTTCAGCCCTGCACCTTCCTTCCATCCCGTGTTCTCCCTCCCGCCCAACCTTCAGATCCATACCTTGCCCTCTTGTGTCTCTTTGTTTTGGGTCCGAATCGATGTTAGTGTTTGGTTTTTGGGTTGTTGGCAGTAGGTGCCACCTCTACCTTTCCCTTTTGGTGCCGGGAGATCCGTTTCAATTTTGCCAGTGATTTTTCTGAGGTTCATCCTCACACAGCTTGGGTCGACCTGGTTGGAGGCCCGCTGCTTGTGGTTTCTAGATCTGGTTGTGGTCCCTTTTGGCTAGTGCGGCTTGGTTTTGGTGTGTGGGTGTGCCGAATTGTGGTTCCCTTCTTGGTTTCTTTCCCTTTGTTTCGCTTCGGGTGAGTTTTTGTAATTTTAGTTTAATTTAGTTTTCATTGTTTAGTCTTGGTATTCCTAGGAAAATTGCTCTCTAGGGTTCCTAGGTTTCCTTAGGTTCTCTAGGAGAGCGTCTGTTTGAAGATTGTATACGGCGTTTGGCGTCGAGTTACCTCCAATTTGTTGGTGACATTTTCAGCTGGTGGTTCATGTTGGTTTTGCAGCATGTGGAAAGGACTATGGAAGCCATGGTTGCTCACAGCACAGCAATGGTTATACACTACATGTTTGGTGGGTGGAAGATTCCCCTGATTTGCTTAGGGATTTATTGTAATTTGTTTCTGTATTGACATTTGGGGATAGTTCATTTCGTCGTGTAGGACACTCTTTTTCCTTAGACTGGGTTCTCCGACAAGGTTTTATCGAGGCCCAATATGCACACTATTCTCAGTTTGTTGTCAATTTGTCCTTGTATTGCTTTGTTTGCAATGAATATCAAATATCGTATTTCTCTCAAAAAAAAAAAAAAAACATAGGACCCATGTTGTTGGATCTAGCATTAACACGTGATAAGAGAGGACTTCTTTGATTAGAGAATTTGAAGAGATCCCTCCTCTAGCATATTTAACTATTTTACTATTTTACTATTACATATGTATGATTTTTCAAATTTTGTCTTTGATTTTTATGCTCATCCATATTTTTAAATTTAAATTTTTGTAAACGTCAGTATTGTATTTAATCAAATTAAATGCCATTTATTAGTTACTATTTTTTTTTTATTCAAACCCTAATTGGTACACTCCTGCCATTTCGGGATACATTTAAATAGAACTGTATTTGCAAAAGGTGGTATTTGATAATATGGATAAGATGAAACTATAAGAATAAAGTAGAAAGCATACATAGGTTTTTTTTTAAAGTACGATATTCATTAAGAATGATGTAAAAAATGTCCAAAGTAAGTAAGAAACATTTAACAGGGATACACCAGCTAAGTAGTATATGAATAGGGATTTTGAGCAAATGTGGTCACACAAAGTGGACTTCTAGCTTGATGTGCCCGCCGCCCAAGCCAAGCTCCAGCTCTTCTTGAGGGGTTCAACGAACCATGTTTGAAAGCCGTATTTGAACAAAAACAAGGTCTTCTCAAAGTTTGAAGCCTTAATTGGTTATTTAACTCTTAGTACCCATGACTCCATAAACATCCAAGGGCAAAGAGCAAGACTGTCTCTTATATTTTGTATTCGTTATTGCAAATCCTCATGATTGTAATTGGGTCTTAAGCCATTGTTTAGGGGCTTACTTTTTTTATGTTACAAGACAAAATCTAGTGAGGAAACGGCGGAATAATTGTTGTTGGGGTACCACAATGGTATAAAATCACATCCACTCACGTTTCTATGGGTAGTCCTTAACCACTTCATTAGCCTCCACTGACTAAATTCAGTTTTTATGATGACAATTTGGTCCCAATTCCCAAATACATATGCAAGATTGGAACTTGCACACAAATGCATTGTTTCCTTTGAAGTCCCATAATAGTGTGCTTTAAGCTACAACCTTTCACGATTTCAACTCTAGCTGGGACTGTTGAGAATGAATCCTATATTGATAAGAGAAAAGTTCTTGCATAGGTTTATAAGTAAATTGGGTTACTCCCGATATAACCAAT